ATAACATGAAGCTGGCGGAATTTTAAAACGGTGTTTTCATTCGGAAACGCATCAATCTCTTTATTACAGTAGAAAAGATAGAACACATGCATGCATTTAATACAAGTCGAACCATCCCGTCAAATAATTTGAGTTTGAGCTGAAATATCTCAACCTGTATATGAAGCTTTTTTTCAGTTCGGTTCAAGAGTATATTAGTGCGTCGTACACAAATTAGATACTACACTGCGAGTACCAGGAATGGCAAAAACGCCCTGGTGGTCACTTCATAAGCATCCTCTTCTTGGCCAGTCGACCTTCCTGCTCTTCTGCAAGGCACAAAATAGATCGTAAAAAAGGGACTGTCTTCCTCACGGCAATGAATGCTGGAAACAGGGCGGAGACTTGACAATTTTGGGTTAAAAATAATGATTCCACGATGTGATAACGTTAAATACGGCTCTTGGCATATTTACAAACGTTTGTTTGGTTCTTCTGTTGCTAATTGCCGACTCGCTTGTTCCAAGATTCCACTTCCAATTTAGAAAGAGCTAGGGGGAAGTTCGGGAAATGGTCGGACATAGTACAAATTGGTAGATGGCGTGACAACTTCAGTTCAGCTCCTTGTAGTTGTACCCTAGATCTGATAGAGCACGCTCTTCCAATTAATGAAAGCGCGCGTCATACCCGAACTTTATTATGATATGTCTTATACCCCATTCACACCAAAGCAACGCAGTTTAAATTTTCTTTCTTCACGAGCTGCCTCAATCCATGTTTGTCGACTTCAAATTTAGCACATTGAAAAAACAAGCTAGAGACTTACTTGGATTCTACGGAAAAAAAACATTTTTTTCAGTTCTTTGTTTAGGATTTCAATCACCCTGTTTAACTAAACATGTTCTGTAGGAATCTGGTTTTAGTACTGAGGTCTGACTAATGATCAAATCAAAAATTAAAGATCTCAGTCAGTCGTGGGAAATTTTTTTTTTCTCTCAGGGACCCTTGGCCAATACGCTAAATGTGATCCTGTTTTGAGAAATATGCTACTGTTGATACTTGCATAATAATTTTTGCAAAAATTCACTTTACGCTTTCAGCCAATCAGAAAAGAGATAGTGAGCTGAGTGTATAATAATTCTAATTATCGTTCCTATCATAATAATTATCACA